TGCGACACAATCTTAATTAGTGTAGGACGAAACGATGTCATCGTAGATTGCTCCATGCATGAATCCAGTTGACCACCGCATGCTATACTTTTTGGATGACTTGCTCTTCAATGTTGCATGAATAGCAGGAAAAATGAACCGTTCCATAGAGAAGGGAACTCGGCTTGATAGACTTGTTCATGTAAAGTTCATACACCTAGCGCGGTTGAAAAGTATCACGGTTTTCGTTCCATGCTAATCCCAAGAAAAATTTGATTTTCAGGATGAGGTTCAAACTGCTCGCCTTGCTCTTGATTGCCATAGTCAATGGAGCCATCTCTATTACAGACGGTGTAAGAGGATCCTACCGGTCATTATCAACTCTAACTGGTAGAATAAGGTTACTGTAGAAACTTCATTGCAGCCCTTCAGCGAAAAGGTCTCGAAGATCAGTGATATGATTAAAGGCAAGCAAAATGATGTTCTCAGCACACTGGACGTACACGCCGGAAAAATTGCTTCACTGCTCCAGGTTTCGTCGACATCGATTAGTGTGATGCATAGTAGTAGGGGTCAAATGTTATCCAAAGAAACTCAGCAACCCACAGTAGCACAAGCTTGAACTTGAAGATTTGATAATTTCATCAAACACGCATTTCAGGAACTACCAGAGATCAAATATGATCAAGTCAACCCTATGGGTGACTCCCTTAACGAAGTAAACGAAAGGAGCAATGTCGAAGACCGGCTTTTCCAGAGCGACATTCTCCTTACAGAGTAACCACTGACTTGAACTGAGTCAATTTTTTGAGCAAAGCAAAAATTTATGTTTTAAGGAAACAAGCCAAAACCATCATCAGTGATATTGACGAACAAGTGAGAGGTAGTAACCGTACAAAGCGCCAAGCTATTGCAGATAGGGATGGCGTGAAATTGTGGAAAACCGGAGTGAACTATTATTTCAGTCCTTCTCTGAGTAAGGCCAAAAGCCTCGAATTACTAGAAGAAAGCTTCGAGGCTGGGATGAAAGAAGTTCATATTACAGATTCGAAGGCAAAAAGAGCTTTTTTGATGGGAGCAGATATGTGGCAGAAATACTCATGTGTTAACTTCAAACATAATCCCTACGGTAAGTATCAGCAACCTAATTTATTTGTTTCAAAAAGATTTTTTCATAGGTCATTTATGCGTATGTATTCCTTAACTATAGATGAATAGTTCTAGAAATCTTTACAGTTGTAAATAGAATAATCCTTCTGAAACTGCATCACCGTACCCCATAGTCACTCGTTCCTCCAATGCCTAGGCAATACAATGAGTACAAACCATTACCACTGCTAATCGTAAATTTAGGAAAGGGGGAAAAGGGGGAAAGTTGAGACTCAGATTATGTAACGTTCCATACAGCTAAGTATTTCATTCCCTACAAAGTGATTAGATTGGAGCACATTCGGATGATTACAGGAAAGCACATACTAGATAGAAATCGATCAAAGAATGATCAATCAGTAATAGTGAGTTTCTTCCGTTTTGTTGTCAGAGCTCTGTATTTTAGCTGAGGATCGTGTCAAAATCGAGTATGGACAGGGATGTTGGTCGAGCTTAGGAAAAGTAGGAGGAGAGCAGAAAATCTCACTAGGAGAAGGATGTGACGTGGGCTCAATTGCTGCTCATGAAATAGGAAGAAAGCTTCGAGGCTGGGATGAAAGAAGTTCATATTACAGATTCGAAGGCAAAAAGAGCTTTTTTGATGGGAGCAGATATGTGGCAGAAATACTCATGTGTTAACTTCAAACATAATCCCTACGGTAAGTATCATGTCGTATGCAACCTTAGCTTATTTGTATGATACAGATTTTTTATTTGTCAAAGGTTATTTATGTGTATGTGTATGTTACGTTCCATATAGCTAAGTATTTCACTTCCTACAAATTGATTAAATTACATGTTGAATGCACATTCGGATAATGACGAGAAAGCACACACTAGATAGAATTGATCAGAGACTATTCAATCAGTACTAGTGGCTTTCTTCCGTTTTGTTGTCAGAGCTCTGTATTTTAGCTGAGGATCGTGTCAAAATCGAGTATGGACAGGGATGTTGGTCGAGCTTAGGAAAAGTAGGAGGAGAGCAGAAAATCTCACTAGGAGAAGGATGTGACGTGGGCTCAATTGCTGCTCATGAAATAGGCCATACTATTGGTTTCTGGCACACCATGGCGAGATACGACCGCGACAGCTTCATCACCTTGAATGTTGGCAACATCAAGGTAAATGTGGAAAAAGGAACAAAAGGCATAGAAATGGTAACGCGTAGAGCATTCGCTTGCAGCAATCCTGGCTTAGCCAGTTCGCGAAACAGACACCACAGACGAACGACAACTTCAACCTGACCTACGATTACGGTAGCATCATGCATTACGGTGGAAGGAGGTTAGCCGAATTCTTTTCTTCAC